TAGGCGCCGAGCTCATTCTTCATAGCTTCTTGAATTTTGTTTTTTGCATAAGAAAAAGTTTCCCTAACTCAAGGTTTTCTTTATACACATACTTCTACAATTAAATGCTAAAAGAAGATTAAATTTTATTGTCATGGGACATTTCGGAATTCTATCTTTATCATAAATTTAATTCTCAAATACATATCGTTCTGATCTGAACTCATTCCTCTTCTGTTGACCTATTTATTTGTCTACTTTACTGCCAGATTGCACTTTTACATGACTTCAGCTTTATAAACATTTTGCTGTGTGTGGGGGAACACACTTCCCCAAGTGAACTGAGTACTTTCTTTTCTTTATTTTTTCATCTAGTAGTGTTTTATTTATGTTTTCTTATGCATTAGAAAATACCATCAAAATTCCTATTGGTATTTTGACAGTTATTATACTGAATTTTAGATTCACTTAGGGTCAGCTTTGATGCCGTTATAGTAACTGAATCTTTTTGTCTGGAAACATGTTGTGCCTTTACATTAATTCAGAGTTCATGTGGCCTTTGATATAAGATATCAAGATATCTTGATATTTTAGGTATCTAAGATATCTTGATATCTTAGATATTTTAGGTTTATTTCTGAATAAAACTAAATCCAATGTTTTATTGGATTTGCTATTATTATAATTAGAATCAAATATCTTTCTCATTATTCATTTCTCATGTATAAGGCTTTTGATTTGTTTTAGAGCCATAGAACTCCAGCAGAATCTATTTGTTGGCTCAACACCTGTAGCTCAAGCAGCCAGGGTGCCAGCCACATGCACCAGAGCTGGCGGCTTCGAATCCTACCCAGGCCTGCCAAACAACAATGACAACTACAACCAAAAAATAGCCGGGCATTGTGGTGGGCGCCTGAAGTCCCAGCTGCTTGGGAAGCTGAGGCAAGAGAATTGCTTAAGCCCAGGAATTGGAGGTTTCTGTGAGCTGAGATGCCACAGCACTCTACCCAGGGTGACACTTGAGGCTCTATCTCAAAAACAAACAAACCAAAATAAAACCTATTTGTTCTAATGGGTGTTAGTAATGGAGCATCAGTTTATTTCTTTCTATATTCTAGAGCAGCACTGTCCAACATAAATAGTATAAAACAAACCATACATGTAATTTAAGTTCCCTCATAGGCATACTAAAACTGTAGAAAGAAAATAGATGAAATTATCAGTAACATAATTTACCCCAGTCTATCCAAAATACTGTATTATCATTTCAACATGTAATTAGAATAAAATATCTGTGAGATGTTTTATATTCTTTTTTGTGTGCATTAAGTCTTAAAAATTCCATGTATATTTTACACCTGCAATTTGGACTACCTTAGTGATATTTCAAATGCCAATCACCACAGTGGCTAACAGCTACTGCCTAGAACAGTATAGTTCTCAGTGGACCATCATATTGTTTGCAAACAATGAAAAGTTTTTCCTAAGTGTTTTTTTTGGTCTTTTTCCCTTTGCCTTAATGTTTTTGCTTGGAGCAGCAGCAGCCCAGTGCTGATGCTGATGATATTCATGGAAATACTTGCAATGTCTGACCACTGTGGATTTCTGGAATGACGGACTTTAGGAACCAAAGAGGGTTCTTTCCTTTTCTAGTTTTTAAGAATTTTTTCTTTAAAACTAGATTTTAAGTTTTACTTTAAAAAGTGGTGTCTATTGGACGGTGTCTGTGGCTCAAAGGAGTAAGGCACCGGCCCATACACCAGAGGTGGTGGGTTCAAACCCGGCCCCAGCCAAAAACTGCAAAAAAACAAACAAACCAAAGTGGTGTCTACTGAAATGACTCTATTTTTCTCCATTTTTTAAAATGAAGAGAAATAAAGTAATACTTTTTAAATGGTGAGTAGTTCTTGTATTTTAGAGACAAAGTCTCCTGATCATGTTTTTTTTGAAGATAGGGTCATGCTCTGTTGCCCCGGCTAGAATGCTATGATATAATTACAGCTCACCTGTCAGCCTTGAACTCCTGGATTCACGTGATCCTTTCACCTCAGCCTCTTGAGGAACTAAGACTACAGGTGTCCACCATCATGCTGCACTAATTTTTTTTTTAAATTTTTTTGTAAAGATGGGGTCTTGATTTATTTCCTATGCTGGAAATACAGCTCCTGGACTCAAGCAGTCCTCTCACTTTAGCCTCCCAAAGTACTTTATTTGCTTTTTTTTTTTATCTAAGGTACATAAAAATAAAAATCCCTGTTTATTTCTCTATTTTGTTTTAAAAGCAGTGAGTCTCTGTCCAGTTTGTATATCAAGGAGAATTTTTCTGGCCTGTCAAATGGATTGTATAGACATAATTCTTGTTCTGTACTTTGGAACTGCTTATTATAATATTGCTTTAAACAGAATATTGTACAGAAATATATTCATCACATCGGTGGTAGCCCATTCTCACTCTGTGTTTTCTGTTTTAGCTGGGCTCTGGACTGTCTTCACACTGGGCGGCGTGGGCAGCAAGGCAACTACCCCGCCAGAGCTTTCCTCCCCTCTGGCCAACCAGAGTCTCCTGCTTCTGCTGGTGCTGGCCAACCTGACAGATGCTCCTGATGCCCCAAACCCTTACAAACAGGCCATTATGTCCTTCAAGAACACACAAGGTTTGTAGTGTTTTTGTCTAATTTTCTTTCTAATGAGGAAAGCATTGCTTACTCCATCTTGTTTATCACAGTGGAGGTCTGGAGATGAGTGTTCATTTGTATGTTTTCATACTGGTTAAAAACAAGAAAAACTTAAAGAGCTTTCTTAAGGAAGGTCAAACAAATCTCAGGAGAGGGCTGTGGCCCTTAATATCAATTTTAATAACATTTCTTTCAGAGATAGCTAAATCAGCAGATGCTTTATTTATTTATTTATTGACAGAGCCTCAAGCTGTTGCCCTAGGTAGAGTGCTGTGGCATTACAGCTCACAGCAACGTCCAACTCTTGGGCTTAAATGATTCTCTTGCCTCAGCCTCCCAAGTAGCTGGGAGTACAGGCGCCTGCCACAGTGCCCAGCTGTTTTTTTGTTGTAGTTGTCTTTGTTTGACAGGCCCAGGCTGGATTCAAACCCACCAGCTCTGGTGTATGTGGCTGGTGCCTTAGCTGCTTGAGATTAGCTTGCCTTACCTGGTAGGTATAGGAATTATACTGAAATATCCCAAATGAGATGATGTTTTAAATTTTTATTTAAAGTTTATAATCTAGTTAGATTTGCAGGGGTGTCCACCCTGTGGCCCATGGGCCACATGCTTATTTTGTGAGAATTTATTTTGCCTATCTGTGATGTTGGATGTTCTGAAAAGTATGCACAGACTTTTTTTTTTTTTTTTGCTGATCAGCTTTTTTAGTCTCTGTGTATTTACTGTGTCCCAAGACAATTCTCATTCTTCCCATGTGTGACAGAAAAAAAAAATAAAAAGGTTGGACACCCCTGAATTAGAGTTTTACGGAACTAAAAATTAAGATACAAATCCACAAACATTTTTCTGTAAAGGGGTAGTAGCTTTGTGGTGACATATGGACCCTAATCCTGCTGTTGTAGCACAAAACCAGACAAAGATAGTTTATAAATGAGTGAGCATGACTGTGCTATAGGCCACCTGTGAGCTGTGTTTTGGTAATAACTAAAGTGGAAATAAGTGGAGAGGCCATAAGAAATAGTAATCTCTTGTCAAATGGTTACACTCTTAAAAGCCAGCTTAGTACAGTCACGTGTTTCTTGGAATATGTTCTAAGAAATGTGTTGTTAGGTTTTTTTTTGTCCTGTGACCATCATAAAGTGTATTTATGTAAACCTGGATGGTACGGCCTGCTATACACCTAAGCCTATTGCTTGTAGGCTATAAACCTCTATGGTATGTTACACTAATGAGTGCTGTAACCAGTTGCAACACAGTGGTAATGTTTGTATCTAAGCATATATCGAAATGTAGAAAATGTACAATAAAAACATGGCATTATAGTTTCATGGAACCAACTTTGTATATGTGGTCCATCATTGACTGAAATGTTGTTATATGGTGCATGTCTGTAGTTAGATTTTCTAGATGTTTTCAACAGTATTACAGTTAAAATGAGGGACATTTTAAAGGCTTCTGATTCCCTGTGCCATGTTCCCTCCAGATCTGTTCCAATACAGATTTCAATAGACAGTGGCTGAGAGTTAGTTGTGTCATTGCCTTTGCTCGCACGGGTTATCATTTGTGGGATGTCTTAGTCCATTTGTTACGGTGTAACAAAATACTTGAGACTCTTTAATTTACAAAGAACAGAAATTTATTTTCTCAGCTGTGAAGGCCGAGAAGTAAGTCCAAGATCAAGGCACCAGTGGGTTTGATGAGGCCTCAGTCTTTGCTTCCAAGGTCTCACCTACTAGTGGAGGCCTCATGTGGTGGAAGGGAAAAGGGGAAAAAGAGGCTGAGTGCTGTGCCTCTTTCATAAAGACCTTTACGCACTCATGGGGAGGAGACTGATTACCTAATTACCTCCTAAAGGCCCCACCTCTTAGTATTACTGCTTTGGAGATTAAGTTTCAACATGAATTTTGGGAGTCAATTTGATGGATTAAAAAATGAAAACTCATGTATTTGGTCATAATTTTCTATTCCCATCACTATATTCTTCTTTGTGGCAGTTAATGGCCAACGAAGCAAGTTTTAGAGTCAAGCAGACCTGGGTTCACACCACACCTCAGTCCCTTCGGAATGTGAGCCTTTAACAGTTTGTGTTAGGGTGGCAACTCACCAGCACAGGCTGAGAAAGAATTCTCAACAAAAAGATTAGCCAGGTTTAAAGAAAAAGTTTATTTTGGGCGATGCTCAAAGGAGTAGGGGGCCAGCCCCATATACTGGAGGTGGTGGGTTCAAACCCAGCCCTGGCCAAAAAAACTGCAAAAAAAAAAGAAAAAAAAAGAAAAAAAAAGAAAAAGAAAGAAAGAAAAAGTTTATTTTACTTTCCAAGAGGAAAAGGCACAGTGTGAAAGAAAGAAGTGCTGGCCTTGAGAGTAAGAGTTATGATTTATGTATATAGTTATTTCTGCAAAAGGATAGCAGGAGGCAGCTGTGGAGCAGCCGTGTTTGTTTGTTTGTTTGTTTGTTTGTTTGTTTTCTCTGCTGGGCTGGCTTTATTAGTCTCCCTGGAATGTGGTTTGCCAGGAGTGAGGGGATGGTCATGCTCCTACCTTCTCAGTTCTTTTGAAGTACCATGAAAACAAACTCTTAAGCCACAGGTAGTTTATTAAACAAAGGGACAGTTGTGTGCTGTGATCTTTCTCCCTTTTTGTCCCTATTAGGTAGTTTAATTTTCTCCATTAGATAGTTTATTAGCAATGCCATGCTTTCAGTTTGTTTAATCTCAGCTTCAAAATGGACATGTCACTTAATAGTATTTGTATAAATATTAGGGAAGGTAAAGTCTTAAACTGATAGCCCAGATTTTACAGTATATCAAGTATTCAGTATATGGTATTTACTATTTTACTTTTGCTACTCAGGCCAAATGTTAGTATTTAGGGTTGAACTTTGCTTGGGATAATCATGTTTTGGGAGACCATTTAGTACTGTGATTCAAAGCATTGGTATTAGGGTGTTCGTGTCACAGTTTATATTCTTTAAATAAAAATTTCTTTACCTGTAAAATAGGGAAAATTTGTACCTCTCAAGGTTCTCATGTCAATTAGACAAGCATTTATCATAGCATACACTAATATAAAGTATTGCCATATTGCTTTTATAGTAAGCAATATTTTTGCAGAGGTAGCAACAGGCCAATTTGGATTTTACCCAGGCTGATCTGGAAAAAGTTACTTAATCTCTTTAAATCTGCATCTCACCCCTTGTAAAACTGATCTGAATAATGACCTGATGGTTGTATGGATTAGACAAAGGATAACACACAGTATTTAGTGTCTGGTTCATAGCACTATAAATGTATAGATACATACATTTATTAGTCTGTTTTCTGCCGCTCTAAAGGGATACTTGAAACTGAGTAATACATAAAGAAGAGAGGTTTATTAGGCTCATGGTTCTGCAGGTTGAACTAGAACCATAGCACCAGCATCCGCTTCTGGTAAGGGCCTAGGGAGCATCCAATCAAGAGGGAAGTGGAGGGGGAGCAGAAATGTTATATGGCAAGAGAGGGAGAGGAAGAAGGAGAGAAGGGGATACCCACACTCTTTTCAACAACCAGCTTTCATGGAAACTAATGGAGCAGAACTCGCTCATTACCTCTGAGGGGGGACCACACCATTTGTGAGGGATCTGACCCCATGACCCAGACACATCCCACTCAGCCCTACCTTCAACATGAAAAATGTTAAAGCAGATTGTTTTGTTTTGTTTTGGTGCTGCTTCTGTATTTTTAAAGGTTCTAAAAAAAACATTCTTAGTGCCTTCTGAAGGATTAAAATGCCATCTCTTTGTGTTGTCATGTTCCCATGTTTTATTTGATTAGATTTTGACTTTTTCTGAGTCACTCACACTTTGTCTTATTTTTCACTTCTTAACCTTGCTTGCTTCAACTTTTATGCAGATCCAGTTGACAGTTGAAAAAGAAGCTATGTCAGTTTTGGAATGTCAAGAATTTTCTGAGACTGGGCTGTGATTTTTGCTTTTCATTTTTCCAGTGACATTACTTAGGAAAAAAAAGTTTCTTAACAATTGTAGTCAATTAGGGTTTTTTTCCTTTTAAACAGAAAAAGTTATAAAAGGTTCTTGGTAGTTGTCGAAGGCTTGGTATATTCTGTCCGTTAGAGAAGTTAATGTGAAGCACAGATGGTCCCTGACTTACAGTGGCTTGACTTACAGGATTTCGACTTTATGATGGGGTGAAAGCAATATATACTCACTATTGTATTCAGTAAATTATATGAGATATTCAACTTTTTATTATAAAATAGGCTTAACCCACCTTAACTATAGGTTAATAGTTAGCATTTGGGCTAGCACAACTCAGAACTGTACATGTGCTGAGCACATTTAAGGTAGGCTAGGCTAAGCTATGATATTTGTCAGGGTAGATGTATTAGATGCATTTTTGACTTAGGATGTTTTCAATTTACAATGGATTTATCAGAATGTAACACCATCATAAATTGAGGAGTACTTGTATTTGATTTCATATGATTTTACAGCTAGTTAAATTATATGTTGCTGTTTTAGCCATTTTCTTAACAAGTGGATTAATTACATTGGTGAGTTCTTCAGCTATGATTTGTTCATTTGAAGGAAATTAAGGTAACTTCAAGGTAGTTTTTTTCTTTTTAACTCTACAAGAAGACTTTCTGCTTTATAAATAAACTGTACCTTTTGGAACAGAGCATCTCAGTGTCCTGGTTAAATTTGTATCTATTGGAGGATCCTTTGTCTCGTCCAATAGTATCAAGGTCAAGCTATGTGACTTAATTCTTTTTAAAATAAAGTTTAACTATAAATCGAAAGTTTGAATCTAAAATTAATGGTTTGAGTTATACGCATTACTTCAACAATATTTTTACTATTTATATAAAGCCCTATGAAGAAAATACCAATGTAGTGTTTTTCTGTGTTCCAGATAGCAGTCCTTTTCCATCGTCAATCCCACACACCTTCCAGATCAACTTTAATAGTTTGTACACGGCTCTATGTGAACAGCAGACCTCTGATCAAGCCACTCTCCTCTTGTATACATTGCTCCATCAGAATAGTAACATTAGAACATATATGTTGGCTCGCACAGATATGGAAAATCTTGTAAGTATCTTATGAAACACTTCATGCTTTTGTATTTTATAATATTTTGTAGACTGTTTTTTCCCCCAATAGGCTAAATCTGTTTGCCTGATTACCATAATGGTGATAGTCAAGAGATTGGGACATGGGACATGGGACATGTCACCAGGTACTGGCAAAGAGTATGAGATTCCTTGGTGAATGAGACAGTTCATGTTGACATGGTCTCAGAGCACAGAACACAGTCAAATCCCAGCTGGCTTGACAAAGCTTCCCTGTCCTTGGGTCTTTAACAGCAGCCCATTGCCCATGGTTCAGCCTGACGAAGTCCCCTGAGAAGCATCCTCCGCAGTTGTCAAGGAAATTTTTATATCCTCAAGATTCACTCTAGTTGCCAAGTGCCTGCCCATTAGGGTCGTGTAATTAGTCACACTTACAGCATATTCCTGAGGGGAATACCTGAAAAGAAGGGTGGTGGTTCAACTCAGCTGCCCAAGTCCTCTGTCCCCTCTGAAAGGCTTAGACTTTGGAGCTATCCGCACTCAGTTCTGGGAATATTGTAGTTATTTTCCAGTACTGTTGCCAGCCATCGCTTAAATGTATAATATTCTTCACTATGCATGTGAAATTAGTTCCCAAACTTTTACTCATAGACAAAAGCTTCTATAAGCAATCATTGATTTCCATTATGACTAATGTGTAAACATTCGTTCACCATTATCCATTTAAGGGGAAAAGTAAGCTACCTCACCAAGGTGCTAGTAATTGTTCAAATACATAATACAGAGATAACTTTGTACCCTTCATGCATTCATAAAAATGGGAATATTCCTCGGATAGTAGCAGCTGGCTGACAGCAGCAGAATGTCCCCTCTGTGCCAGTCTTCGTGGCTTGAGAGCAGGATTTTCCAGATACTTGGTTGCTGTTTTTTTCAGTGTTAAATCTAAAATACTGTGCAAGTAGGGAGGAAGCATGGAATATTAGAATTCACATTCTAAATCAAGCCAATACTAAGAAGAGAAATGTGATGCAAAAACCTGTGTCCGCACCAGCTACACATGGGAAACATTAGAGTAGATAGCAAAATTGGGAGTAAAAGTATACTGCTTATGTGAGTGAAAACTAGTAAAGAGGGCTCGG